TTTTTTTTTTTTTGATTTAGATTAACTGTATATTTAAAATTTGTGGGGCTTTCTTTTTTACCTGGGCCTAAACCCCAGGCTTTGCTGGCCTTATGGTAGGGTCAGGCCTGCATATCATCCACATCATGATTGTGCTATGTTATTCTTTTTTATTTTTTAATCATAGATTGACATGTGTAAATGTTGCCATATATTTGATTTTATCAAATTTGAACCAACAGACTTAATTCATGCTATACAAATTTTGAATACTCAAGGGCTTTTTTGGCATTTTGATTTGTAACATGTTTCAATTATTTTATTCTTCTACTTTTTTATTCTTCAAACCAAATAAAAAAGAAAGGAAATATATACTCTTTCTTTTCTTCGTGGATGAAAAATTTAGGACAAAATCTAGTTTACTCCCTTGTAATTTGGGTATTTTGCACATGACCCCCCTATGATTTAGAAACAGCACGTTACCCCCTTATACTTTTGGACTAAAATGTTACCGTTAGTTTTTCCGTTAAATTAAACCATCTGTGACACACACGCGCCTAAAAGGAGATTTGACATAACAAAACTTTTTCTCTCCATAAATAGACACAATAAAAGTACAATAATACCCTTTTTTAATCTTCATCTTCCTCAACAGTTGACTGTCATATTTTTTCTCAAAAAATTCACTCCAAGCACCGTCTCCTTATCAAAATTTTTAACAACAAAATTTTAAAAATTAAAATAAAGTGGATGATTCTTAACTATGCATGGCTCAAGTGAAATTCATCTTACCGTCGTTGGTCGTGACAAGGAGAGCCTAGGAAGAGGGGGTTTGAGCAAAGAAGAGGGGGCAAGGGAGGAAGGGAGGTGAGGGGATGAGATGGAGATATACCTGGAAGGGCTGTTTGGCGGTGGGTTGCCAATAGTGGCAGAAGGGCGGTGAGAGAAAGGGGAAATGAGGTTGTTACTTAGAGAAAGAGAGAGGAGAGAGGGGATTACTGATGGAAAGAGAAGATGAAGAAGAGAGAGAGGGGGCAGTGACATTGCTGAGTCATAGAGAGAGAGAGAAAGAAAGGCAACAAGGTGTATAGTAAGAGAAAATCAAAATCCTTGCTTAAGTTTGAAACTTGAATTTTTAGATATTCAAAATTTCGAGTTTCGGACGTGAAGGGAGGCCTAATCCACCATTTTTAGGGTCAAGGAATCCATTTTTAAAGTTAGAATAGAGAAAGAATGAGGTTTGGTGGGTGAAAAATTGAACTAAAAATGGTGATAATTTTTGAAAATGATGAACCCGTCACTTTGGAGCTCAATTTTCACTTACCTTGTGTATGATTTGGACAAACAAAATACATGGTTGGAAAGAGGGTAGAAAGAAGTTAAATTTAGGCATTTGAATCACCCAAAAAGGTTGAGAAACGAGGGAGAAATTAAGGATCAAAGTTGGTCCAAATGTTGAAAAAAATCTGGTATGTACATAACTTGTCAAAATGTGTTTATGATCCCCTTTGAACTTAAATTTGTGAGTCATGGGGGCTATTGAAGGAAACAAGTCCGTGGGGTTTAAAACTAGATTGAGAGTGGAGTATATTGGCATTGGTTTGAGGAAGTTTGGTACTTTGTGGAGAGAGAGAGAAAAGCTTGTAAAGTTTGGTGGTTTGTTGATTTTTCAGAAAATTAGGCTACAGTTGAGAGGGAGGAAGAAGATGATAAATAGTTGAGGGTACTAAAATTATTTTACCACTAATATTTACAGTGTTAATTGTGCATTTTAGTCCAAAGCATAAGGGGGTAATGTGCTGATTTTCAAATCATAGGGGGGTCATGTGCAAAATATCCAAACCATAAGGGGGTAAACTGAATTTTGCCCAAAAATTTATTACTCTCACTTTTTTATCCCTCCCATTTATCATCATTGCTACCAAACATGCTATAAATATCAAGCTATTAAACCACATCTCACAGGGAACAAAATCGCAGGGAACCAAAAATTTGCTCCGACTAATTACCCATAGTCGGAACGTATTTATACTATTAATTACCCATTGTCGGAGTGTATTTATACTATTAATTAAGGAAGATAAAGAGTTTGACATCCTTATTATATCAATATTACCCTGTAACCATTCATACTTTCTATCTTTATTACATTCTTATATCTATCACTCCTAGATAATTACGCACACGAATGTTGTGTGCAAGCGCCAACATTATCATTATCAATCATGATGTTTAAGTAATAATTTAAGAAAAATGAAGTGTTTTCGAATCTTGGGGTTTCATGATCTTCTCCAATTTGGGTTCGATCCATTTAGATACCATGGGTTCCAGTTATTATATAGTGGCTAATCTTAAATTGAGGGAATTTAGCATTGAGAGGATTCAAATCCGGACACGAGTGACTTTCAGCCCCGTCCTTCCATTGATTTGTGTATAAGTGGAGTTTTAAGCTTTAGTTAGACGTATTGATAATTGAGACTCCAATGGAGTCTATCTATGTAGGTGTATCCACTGTATATTGCAAATTTTGTAATGAAATAGTAATTGAAGTGCGTGCAGGCTTTGAAGGGAGGGATGAGAGAGAAAGTGCAACTGGCTACCAAGTTTGCGATTAGGATACTGGAAGGTGGTAAAATGGACGTTTGTGGCGATCCGGCCTACGTGCGGGAGGCTTGCGAGGCTAGCTTGAAGCGTCTTGACATCGATTGTATTGATCTCTATTACGTTCATCGCATCGATACTCGTGTACCAATTGAAATCACGGTTGGTTTATCTTGCCTTTCTAATGTTCTATAATGCATCATGTTAACAATGAATATAAGTCATGTTGTATTTTGCAGGACCCTGATGGTATGGTTGGGCATAATTTTCCCATAGTTTAGGAATAAATTTGCATGATTATTAGTTTTTCTCAACTTCCAAATCTAATCAACAAAACTTTTCTTGGATTGCTCTTTATTTTTATCATTAGTTGACAAGTTCAATTTCATCTTTATGTATTTTTTTGAGGAATCTAATTAACGATTCCAGTATTGTCCTTGATGTTTTAATGCCCCTCCCCCCAAAAAAAAAAAATTAATAAAAGAGATGAAAAAGCTCATGTCGCACTTTACTTAATCTCTTTTATGCCATGCTTTTACCAGATGGGAGCACTCAAGAAATTAGTTGAAGAGAGTAAAATAAAATATATCGGTCTATCTGAAGCTTCACCTAATACAATCAGAAGGGCGCATGTTGTTCATCCAATAACAGCTATACAACTGGAATGGTCCTTATGGACTAGAGATGCAGAGGAAGAGGTCATTTCCACTTGCAGGTGAGACATCTTGCTTGTGCCAAATGCTAACTATTATGTTTAGGAAGTGATGAGCATTTCAAGTTACTAAGTTCACTAATTTTGTAACTTTTCAGAGAACTTGGCATTGGAATCATTCCCTATAGTCCTTTAGGAAAGGGCTTCTTCACATCAAGTCCACAAATGGTTGAGAAATTGCCAGAAAATGACTTTAGACAGGTATATAGATCTGAAAAAAATTATCTCTTCAACATTATTTTGAGGTTAATTAATATTATCTTAGGGGCATTGATCTTTGTGGTTGTCTCTTTGTGGTTTCATGAAGTTTCTTCTTCTATCTTAAAAAATGATTCATTGACATAATGAGTCACCGTAGTAGTTCTTATGCTGAATTGTGTGTCTTTTGTTTGTAGACTGTGCCAAGGTTCCAACCCGAGAATGTCGAGTATAACAAAAAATTGTACGAGCAAGTTAATGTAATAGCAACAAGGAAAGGATGCACTATATCACAGCTAGCATTGGCATGGGTCCATCACCAAGGGGATGATGTTTCTCCCATACCCGGCACCACCAAGATCGAAAACTTCAATCAGAATGTCGGAGCTTTATCTATAAAATTGACACCCGATGAAATGGTTGAGCTTGAATCTATTGCTACAGCTGATGCGGTGAAGGGTGAGAGGTATCCATCTTCACACATGGCTTTCACTTGGAGATTTGCAAATACTCCTCCTCTGTCCTCTTTGAAAGCTAAATGAGGATGAGCTTCTTGATGCGTGCTAATACTACCNAAAAAAAAAAATTAATAAAAGAGATGAAAAAGCTCATGTCGCACTTTACTTAATCTCTTTTATGCCATGCTTTTACCAGATGGGAGCACTCAAGAAATTAGTTGAAGAGAGTAAAATAAAATATATCGGTCTATCTGAAGCTTCACCTAATACAATCAGAAGGGCGCATGTTGTTCATCCAATAACAGCTATACAACTGGAATGGTCCTTATGGACTAGAGATGCAGAGGAAGAGGTCATTTCCACTTGCAGGTGAGACATCTTGCTTGTGCCAAATGCTAACTATTATGTTTAGGAAGTGATGAGCATTTCAAGTTACTAAGTTCACTAATTTTGTAACTTTTCAGAGAACTTGGCATTGGAATCATTCCCTATAGTCCTTTAGGAAAGGGCTTCTTCACATCAAGTCCACAAATGGTTGAGAAATTGCCAGAAAATGACTTTAGACAGGTATATAGATCTGAAAAAAATTATCTCTTCAACATTATTTTGAGGTTAATTAATATTATCTTAGGGGCATTGATCTTTGTGGTTGTCTCTTTGTGGTTTCATGAAGTTTCTTCTTCTATCTTAAAAAATGATTCATTGACATAATGAGTCACCGTAGTAGTTCTTATGCTGAATTGTGTGTCTTTTGTTTGTAGACTGTGCCAAGGTTCCAACCCGAGAATGTCGAGTATAACAAAAAATTGTACGAGCAAGTTAATGTAATAGCAACAAGGAAAGGATGCACTATATCACAGCTAGCATTGGCATGGGTCCATCACCAAGGGGATGATGTTTCTCCCATACCCGGCACCACCAAGATCGAAAACTTCAATCAGAATGTCGGAGCTTTATCTATAAAATTGACACCCGATGAAATGGTTGAGCTTGAATCTATTGCTACAGCTGATGCGGTGAAGGGTGAGAGGTATCCATCTTCACACATGGCTTTCACTTGGAGATTTGCAAATACTCCTCCTCTGTCCTCTTTGAAAGCTAAATGAGGATGAGCTTCTTGATGCGTGCTAATACTACCTTACTACTTTTGATGAAATTCTATCTACTTGTGTCTTAAGAATGTTATAATTCTGAGATTGCATCCTAAGTTAGAACTATGTTATTTTGATGAATAAAAAAGAGCCACTTATTGCTTTTTCCATCTTGTCCGATTAGTAAATTTGATTGTCCGTACTATCTTTAATTTAGCTCCATGAATTTATTTTCCAAAGATCTTATTACATCTGAAAATGCACTTGAAGAATCAACCTTACAAGATATTAGTAGAAAAATGAGGTTTTGCATTCTATTCAACATAGAAGTTTACCTTACGAAAATTGCATTAGAAAATGATTCATCTTGTATAAAATGAAATTCAATTGTAAACTTAGTTGTGTTTTAAACCTCTTTTCTTACCAACGAGTTGTTGGTTCAGTGGGTAAAAACTTAAATTTTCTTGTTCAATGCTTAGGTTCGAGTCTCCATAGCTACGACAGCTCATTAGGGCTAAACCTACTATTTAGTGCTCAGAGCACGCAATGGGACCTTAGCTTCAACCCTGACATAGGTGCAGTGGGATTCACTGTAGATAGCTATATAGTATTGAGGGGCAATGCTCCCTGGTGCATATATGAAGTGACTTATTTGCATCTCTATTTTTATGTACCGAAAAAAAAACAATCTTTTATTCAAAAAGTTGGAATCCTGAGGCTTGTGCGCTATTAGAGATAAAGATTAAAGATAAGCATGAGGATCAACCAATTCCATCCTCTCTCTCTGTAATTCTCCAAATTTGCGATGTAATACAATCCAACCTTCCAAGCTTTGTACTTATCTTTATATTTTGTCATTCTATAAATGTATCAGTAAGTGCTAGATTGAACGTGAGAGGAAATATATAGATTTTGCAAGTTCTTTCATTGTATCAAAGCAAAGTTCTGAATTTGTTTGAAAATTTGTATTCATCACTCTGTTTTCTTCATCATGTTAGCGTCCTCCACTAACACCCTATTGTAGTAGATATTTTGTGTCTAATTGAATTTCAGGAGGATGAGTTTGATCCTCATAAACTCCAACTATCATGTTGAGTTGTAGAAGTATTCAAACTTTATCAACTGAGATATTGTAGGACAGTTAGACTTTCATTGCTATAAATTTTACTTACTGTGTATATTCAAATTGTGAAAAAAATAGTGAGTTCAAATTCAAACTCTATTGTAACTTTACTTGGTATCAGAGCCTATCCTTGACAACCATCTAGAATGTCTTCCCCTAACTCTTCATCCTCTTCAGACAATATCACCTCCACATTTCCAATCTTCAATCCCTCTTCCAACATTAATGGCTCCAAATTGAACAGAAATAACTACCCTATATGGAAGGCACAAATGCTTCGTTATCTCAAAGGCCAAGAGGTCTTCAGCTATGTAGATGGCACCATTAAACCTCCCCCCCGGGAGAAATCACTGCCGAAGACGGCACGACCTCCCCAAATCCCACATATGCTCAGTGGGGTGAAACAAGATAATCTCATTCTTAGCACCATCAATGCTTCTCTCACTGATGAGGTACTGACTCAGGTTTAACAGTGCACCACTTCACACGATGTTTGGATTGCTCTCTTCACTTGCTTTGCTTCTCAATCCCGTGCCAAAGCAGTCCAGGTTTGGTCTCAACATGCCACAGCTCGTAAGGGTAATCTCTCTACCGCTGAGTATTTTATGCACATCAAAAAGCTCCCAGATGAGCTTGTTATTGCTGGCCAAGCAATGAAGAATCATGATATCATCACATATGTATTGGTTAGACTTGGTCCAAAATATGATTCACTGGTTGCCATTATCTCTACCCATAATGATTTTGTAACTCTCAAAGAGGTTTATACTCTTTTATTAACCAGTGAAGCATCAATTCTTCACAATAACCGGCCTTTCTCTATTGCTGGTGCTAGTGCTAATATTGCCACATGACAAGGAGATACCTCTCTTGGTCTAGGCAGGGGTAATTCTAACAATTATCGAGGCCGAGGGTATAATCAATTTAACAATCGTGGTGGCTATCGTCGCAGTAATTTCTAGAACAATAACACTTGGGACACTGATGATGCCAACCGATCCTCAATTTGGTGTCAACTATGTGACAAATCAGGACACATTATCCATAATTGTTGTCACAGATTCGATATTAGTTTCCTTCACCCTTCCACGAAAACTAATGCACAAGCAATGGTAGCTGCCAATAATCAGAATGTAGAAAGTGATTGGCATCCCAACACTAGAGCAACACACCACATGACTTCTGATTTCAACAACCTCAACATTCGAAGTGATGAGTACAAGATTCAGACCAAATTCAAGTAGGAAATGTGTGACACCCCTAAAACTGGGGGTTCTTCTTCAACCATTTACCACCCATCAACCCGCAGAAGTACCCGTGATTGTCGCACAACCCAATATCACGTCAATAGCATCCCCTTAATCGGAATTACAACCCACACGTGTAACCCGTGTACATTTTATCATTTAATCAAATGGTGGTTCAATATACCACATTTCATACTTCATTATAATCCATTCACATCATTTGGAAGAAAGGACACATGGTCCAAAAGCATAGCAAAACAGTTTTAAAATTTCAAATTTTTGGAAGTCCTACCGGTATGGCATACTGGTAGGGTGAGCCTACTAGAAAATCCCTACCGGTAGGGTATATTGGTACAATTTGTCTACTGAAAAATTCCTACCGGTAGGCTTTGTCCAATTTTACCTCTTCCACCTGTTTTCAATTTCCAATCCATTTCAATCCCTTCCACCACCATCAAAAATATGCTTAATAAAGTTTTTCACATAAAACCTAATATATACAAGTTCCATTACAACAATTTCATCCAGTTCCATACCCAAAACATAAGTTTCACAATAGTTTTACAAAAAATGAATTCAAGGGCCCAAGTTGGTCTTTCTTCATCACTGGGGCCCCAAATGAGAGCCATCTGCATGAGTGTATCCCGCACCTAAAATGTTTTCCCGTACAGGGTGAGCTACACTCAATAGAGTATCCCCTACAGAGGCTACTCCCCAACCTAAGTGCATGTGAAATGTGCACATGCAACAATCAACAAGCATCATTCATTCCAATTAATAATATACAATTTTACATTGGAATTCTACTATGTCATGCCATGAAATGAGATAAGTCTCACTCATGCAATATACCCCAAGCTGTCACCGCCATAGATGTTTCACACCAAATGACTATTTTATAAAACAAATTCATGTGTCTTTATTTGGGTATTCGAATTCTCGGAGTCTCACCATCGATTCCGCACACCGTTACACTTTTCTAGAATTTCATCTCATGGGAGTGTATAAACCAAGTGGCTGGGGCTTGCACCCGAGAGTATGTCCAGCCCTTCTTGCTATACCCGACACAAGTTTTTCATGCAACATGCAACCCGGCCGGATCTTCGATCCAACCTTCCCAAGTCCACTTATCAAGCACCAAGAGTAGTGTTTGATTAAACCATGTACACACACCCACACTCATGCCTAAAGCCCATGAATGATATGCCAACTTTTATGGCCAAAATGCAATGAATACCAAATGAGCTCTTGAAACATATATCATCATATTCTATTGCAACTTACATCATATGCATGAAATCACCAAAATCTATCACACTGTCAATATAACACAAAACATATATCAACCACAATATCACAAGCATGTTATACATCATTCATGTCATAACAAACTTAATTCACACATAGGCATTTAGCAAACACCTTTAAGGCACCAATCATGTTATCACACAAAATTGCCCACATAATAACAAGTTCCAAGAAATTATACAAATAATTTTCGTATACCAAATCCAACTAGAAATCGGTTTAAACCATTTCTACACTCATTTCCTCATTTTCATAACAATAGGCAATTTCTATACACCTAACTATTTCCTATGGACACCATTGGTTAGAAATAAACCAACGTAGAAGGGAACCCTACCTCTTGAAGCATAAAATGAAAGGTAAAACTTTTAAGAATATCTCTCAAGCCCAAAAATCTTGATTTCTTCAAATTCATCTCTTTGGATCTTCGAGGAAATCCTTCGTTCCTGGTATAGTTGTGTAGCCCTTGTCGAGGTGATCAACTTTAACTCTTGGTCTAAGTCGATTCAACCAATGGAGCTCCGTAGATCGTAGAGAGAAGATATAAATTTTTGNTCCAATCCATTTCAATCCCTTCCACCACCATCAAAAATATGCTTAATAAAGTTTTTCACATAAAACCTAATATATACAAGTTCCATTACAACAATTTCATCCAGTTCCATACCCAAAACATAAGTTTCACAATAGTTTTACAAAAAATGAATTCAAGGCCCCAAGTTGGTCTTTCTTCATCACTGGGGCCCCAAATGAGAGCCATCCGCATGAGTGTATCCCGCACCTAAAATGTTTTCCCGTACAGGGTGAGCTACACTCAATAGAGTATCCCCTACAGAGGCTACTCTCCAACCTAAGTGCATGTGAAATGTGCACATGCAACAATCAACAAGCATCATTCATTCCAATTAATAATATACAATTTTACATTGGAATTCTACTATGTCATGCCATGAAATGAGATAAGTCTCACTCATGCAATATACCCCAAGCTGTCACCGCCATAGATGTTTCACACCAAATGACTATTTTATAAAACAAATTCATGTGTCTTTATTTGGGTATTCGAATTCTCGGAGTCTCACCATCGATTCCGCACACCGTTACACTTTTCTAGAATTTCATCTCATGGGAGTGTATAAACCAAGTGGCTGGGGCTTGCACCCGAGAGTATGTCCAGCCCTTCTTGCTATACCCGACACAAGTTTTTCATGCAACATGCAACCCGGCCGGATCTTCGATCCAACCTTCCCAAGTCCACTTATCAAGCACCAAGAGTAGTGTTTGATTAAACCATGTACACACACCCACACTCATGCCTAAAGCCCATGAATGATATG